TGCTGATCTCCTGAAAGTGCCGGGTTTGGTGATGCTACAGGTGTAGGAGGAGAGGTCCTTTTGTCACCTGTGAGCAAAGCTCTTGCCTGTGAGAAACTGGGCAAGCTGTAGGATGCTCTCCAGCAGTAACAGCTGAGGTGCAGGGTGACGCCAGGACTCGGGTGGGTGAAGGTGACGTGAGGATTTGTGCTTGGACTGTTGCTGCCTGAAGCTTGTGTTGGAGTTTGAAAGGAGCCGTTTGTCGGTGCCCTTGGTGACGAGCAGAGGTGCTTTGGAGCATGCAGAGTTGCGCACAGATTGTTGCAGAAACTGTTCTTTGGCTTACACAGCAGATAAAAAGCAATGAATAATAATGCCAGTGTGGCTCCAGAAGGGCCTGATGCATTGTGCGTAATAAATTAGATTAATTTCCTATGCGTGATAGGACTGAGTTTTTCCTCTCCACCAGGCTTTGATATGTTGAGCCTGGAACTATATGAAGTGATGACTCATCAAACTGTAAGCTGTTCGTGGCTGGAATAAGCTTAATGAATTCCTTTATCGGAAGGGCCAGGCAGTCTTCAGAGCCTCTACAAATCCCTGCCTTTCCATGGCTCTAAAGCACGAGAGGAGCTGCCTACCCTAGATTTTGCATATGCATAGAAATCTAGGCATCAACTAACAGAAGTTAAGCAATGACAGAAAGCTTTTCCCTCAAATGGCTCTAAAACTTGCCAAGACGACAGCCCTACTGTCAAACACTACACGCAGGAGTCCTGCTCTTGCACTGTCTGGGGGGTTCCTGTAACTTAAGGAGCGTGAGGCTGAGGGTGGAGGAGTAGGTCACGTTGCAGTTCAGGGATCATGCTACAACTCATGTAGTGCAGAGATAATACCAAAAAGGGAGGCTACTCTTCCAGTAAAACCAGTGACCAGCTTTGGTAGCAGGCCAGTTCTGCACCTTCTCCTAAAAAGCTAACCTCTAAGGAGAAGGTCCAAAGGAGCTGTTGCTGTAATCATTAATTATGACCCAAGTGTGTGGATGCTGTTAGATACTCTTGTGAATCGAACAGTTACTCAGAGGAAAGTTGGGGTTTAAGAGGCCACGTGAGTGGTCATGAAATAGAGCGATGGGGATCTAGTCCTGGCCTCTGTCAGCCTCCTCGGAGGGTCTCTTAGTAAAGTGGAGGTGCTTCGTGAAGCTCTTCAGATGAGTGCAATGGCTGCAAGTTTAGAGGAAAACAATGGTTTATCTGAGTTTTGCTGTGGAGACCCGTGTCCCTGGATGAGGGTGACGTGAAGGGAGTGGGGTCACAGGAGCTGTGGCTAGCAGTGCTTGACTGCAGAGGACCTGTGATAAGAGCGGTGACCTAAAATCTCACAGATTCTTGTCCTGACTTTCCTTCCTTGCTGCCGATTTGCTTAGACTTTGAAAAGGGGGCTGTTATTTCTGGGTGCTCTGGCAGTTGCAGCTGCCTGGCTGCCTTGCAGCTCATGCAGTGCAGGAGCAGATGGGCATGTATGATCTGTAAGTGGCTGAAAAAGCCAGATTTTGGTCTATTACCCACTTAGCAATATCTCGGGTAATTTGAAAACTCACATTTATGTCTGTGCTATTCTGTAGTGACCAGGAGTTTCCTCTTTTTGTCTTAAGGAACTGAAGTGCAATGTTGAGGGTCCCTGCTCTCACTGACTCTTCATTTGTTACAGAAATACCACTCGGAGAGCAAGGGCACCGACCAGGTGGCAGAGACGCAAGCTCAAATCGATGAACTTAAAGGAATCATGGTTCGAAACATAGGTATCTGGCTTCCCTCGGTGCCATCGGGCTGGCAGTCCTGCCAGGAGCATTATCGCAAGAGAAGCTGATGATGGGGTGGCCTCTCGTGACAGAAGGAACTGATGAGGAAAGGGCCAGGGAGCTCCGAGTCTGCAAGCTGTTACTGCGTTGAACTTGGTTGAGGGTGGCATGTGGGCATGGGGAGAGCTGTTGGAGATGAACTCGCACTGCTTGTGATGGGGTGAAGCATGTTCTGCATCCGGTCTGTTTGGCTTTCCTGCAGCTGCCATGAGGAAAATGTTCCTCATAGCGCTTTTTTTTGTGTGCCAGGCTCTGGTTTGGGTTTTGACAAGTCTGACCACATAAAATAGAGGGCTAGATCTGGAATTGACCAAAATTGAGCCAGGTCAGCCCCAAAATGTAACCTGTGTGATATGAGACTTCCTTAAGTGCTGTGCCTAGCAAGCTCTGGAAGGCTGAGAGCTACTTGATGTCTAACAGGCCACTGCCAAGAGCTCCTGGCTCGCAGCTGGGCTTGGGTATTGGAAGCAGCTCTTTGCACTGGGATTCTACCTGCATCTGGATTTTTGTTTCTTTCTCTAGACCTTGTGGCACAAAGAGGAGAGAAGCTGGAGTTGCTGATTGATAAAACAGAGAATCTTGTGGATTCGGTAAGTCTGGGGAAGAACGTAGAAATGGGGAAATAAGGTTACTGCATCAGTTGTGCTCATTGGGGAGCAGTGGAGGTGAAAAGCAGCATCTAGAGCCCCTTTAAACAGACACTGAAGCATCTAGATCTACAGGTAATCTTTCCCTGGGCCAGACATGAGTCCTGTCTTGTTCCACCGCTCCTTAGAGCTGTTTCACAAGCCGTGTCCCAGCCTTGCACCTCCTTTAGGAGAGTGAAGGTATCCCGTGCATCTCTGTCCTGCCAGCACTGCTGGGATTTGTGGGTGACTGCAAAATACTAGGCAGCACTGCTGGCCAGGTGCTCTGCTCCATGGACCAGCTGCTCCATCCTGTTGAAGAACCATCTTCTCCTTGCTCCTGTTTGCTACAAGCGATGCACAGGATAACAGGCAATGGGGTTTCTTGTCCTTGTCTCTGGTGCCCAAGTTGGGGAAACCCCACTCTTTATCTGGAGCGACAGGAAAGCTAAAGATCATAATTAAAACTTCTCTTGCAGCCTGGTTTGAAGTCAGCTTGATGCAGAGAAACTGGAAAAGTATTAATCTGTAGAGTTGTTCCAGTATACAAAAAAGCGCTGAGCTGTTTAAATAGTCTGTAAAAGACTTGGAAGAGCTTCATGGAGTGTTTCAAAGTGAGAAGAACTGGGGAAAAAAACAACCCAAAACCCGCAAATGTAATGTAATTCTAAAGCATGATGTTATCTAGTGAAGTGTCGTACACTCCACAAGCTTTTTTGTCTTTCCTCTGGGAATCCCTAGTCCTGGCTTGGTGCATGGTCCTGTTGGCACCTGACCCTTGAGACAATCCTCCACCCAGTAGACTGCTGGTGTCCCCTGTATGGGGCTTGTGGAGACCCAAACATCTCAAAGCTGGCAAAAAGTAGTGAGGGAGTAGAGATGCCAGGAGCTTAAGCATAGGGAATGCTGTCCTCTAGCTATCGGGGTGTTAAACCTCACTGCTTCATCGGGTAGTAGCAGGAAGTAGCCTAACCTCAGGTAACACTTTAGAGAAATGGACTGGAATTCCTTCAGCAATTAGATGGAATTCATGTGTGAGCTCTCCCAGGGAGTGTTGGTTTTGGAAACCACGCAGAAAATGAAGGAATGGGATATGCCTTTAGTGTGAGTGTCCTGGGAGATCCAGGGCTGAAGTTCTCAAATGTCAGGAGGGTAATGGACTGTGTTTTATCATTGCTGTACGAGCCTGGACCACCAGAACATTGTAAACCCACTGGTGGTCAGAGTTCCTCTGTCTGCTGGGGAACCAGTCCGGGCTGAGGTGAGGAGTGTTGGTATCCAGCAGTCTGCTTCCACAGGCAGGAACTGCACAGCCGAGCAAGAGAAGAGCCCGAAGTTCAGAGCGTGGCGGAGCATGGGAATCCACTTCAAGTCAAAACTACAGCTCAGGGGACGCAACTGAAAAAGTTGTGGGGTGGTTTGTGGGGAAAACCTGAGAATCACCAGCAGAGCGTGCTGCTGAGTTGGCTGTGGTGGGTGCTGCAGCGTGGCTCTGGGCCCAGGGCAGTCGCGCTGCTGTGGCGTGGTGGGTGCGTGAGGTCCCTTGGTGACCAAAACCTGTTTGGAACGGATGGAATTGCAGAACACAGAGGAGACTGGGAACAGGGCAAACGCATCCTATAAAGCACAGTAAGCCTGAATACTGAAGGAAAGTTCTCACATTAAAGGACTTCTCCAGCCCTGAGGAGCGGTTGTCAGGGGTACCTATACGGGTCGTCTTGTTTTGGTGTATTTACACTAATTAAGCTGCATATAATCTGTTTGTGATTAGATCAGTAATTCCATAAATATTTTGGAGCACTTTGGTTCCCAAAAGGTTGGAGGTCAAATGAGAACCCAACCAGAAGTACTCAAAGGGAAACTAATCCTTGTGGGCAGCCTACAGACCTGCTGGGGTTCTGCATTTAACTCCCCCAGGCTGAGCAGGGGAAGGCACAACCCCAAGCTGGTTCTGGGCTTTCACTTTTACTTTATCTCACCCCTGGAGTAGAGTTTTCTCTTGATGCCTGTTCAGTTTTGGATTTGTAACTGAGGAGTTAAAACAGCTCTGGAGGAGAAAACTGCAGTGGTTTGGGTTATTAGGGAGGTAGTAGCTGGGAAAAGCATGTGCCGCTGCATCTTGCTTCTTGGGATGCAGCTTCCTTTGCAGCAGGTTCAGGAATTAAGTTATTTTACTTTCTCTTGTAGTCAGTCACTTTCAAAACGACCAGCAGGAGCCTCGCTAGAGCCATGTGTATGAAGAACCTCAAGCTTACCATTGTCATCGTCATTGTATCAATTGTAAGTACGGAGCACAATAACCTTTAGCTCTTAAGCCAGGCTTAAATACTGGAAAAGGCTAATAGTGTATTACTGTCTTCAGACTCGCATGTACTCAGCCCTGTGCCTGGAAGGGTCCTAGCTGTAAAACAAGTGTTTTGACGGTCGTGTGTGAGGGGAGAGGAGAGGAGCATCAGGCCAGGCAGCTTTTCTGGCCAAGGCAATAGGAAAAGCTTTCCAGACAATTCTGTCAAGCCTCTAAGGGGCTGTCATAGCCAGCTGCTTTGCTAGCTCCATTAGAAGCTAAGTAAGGGTTTGAGTTCATGGCTGCTCTATCTGTCATGGCTTTTCAGGCCTTAGTCCTGTTGGTATCTTGTAACTTATCTTTGAAGTAGCTTCTTTTTTTTAATGTGAGGGCATACCTCCAGCCTGTAATAAACATAAAGAGCACTAAAGTGAGGATGCTGAAGTACTTTGTCACCACTGAACCCTTGGTCATGTTTTGCTGGAGGATAGTTCTCCCTGTGTCGCTGCAAAGATGTGGAGGAAGAGGCCCTGGCACACCATCCTTGGGGCATTTGACAGTTCTTCAGGGTTTTGATAACTGGGGGTTCTGAGGTTGTGTTTTGATTGCCAGGCCAAGTCGGGGGCCGACTAGTGGGAAGTTGAGTTCTCTACTGAGTGGCTGTTTTCTTTCTCCAGGTTATCCTCTATATCATCCTGTCGGTTGCCTGCAGTGGGCTTACATGGCCAAGCTGTGTGCAGAAGTAACTGGAGGCAGCTGGTGCTGGTCACTTGGAGATGAGAATCACAGGAGTGTGAAGAAGCAACCTACAGAATAACTCTTAATCTCTCACTACTGACACCTTCTCATTCTTCCATCCCTCCAGGACTTCAGACTCTGCCTTATCACCCCAAACAGGCCCAGCTGGTCACTGCTCCTGTGCAGCAGTAACCTTGAGAATGGGCTGTTTTAAATTACTTGAAGGGATTTTTTTCTTTTTTTCTGTCCCAATGACAACCTTCTCAGCTGGGTGGGTGGTATGTCCAGCTCCAGAGGGGTATGTGCATGCTCGCCTGTGTGTCCATGTAGCTTTGCACTTCCATGTGAGCGTGTGAGCGGAGAGCAGTGCTGCTAGCAGCTGTCCTCCCCAGGAGGAGGGTGCTGGGGGCACTGAGCCAACTGATGGCAGGGGGTGAATTTCCACTTTCTGCAAATATTGGAGATCTGGGTGCCTTGCCTCATGGGGCTCTAGTGTTCTAACACGGAGAGGTCGCAGGTGTAATATTGGTAGAACCAAACAAATGGCTTTTGGGCCAGGGCTTTGCGCTGTAAGATGTAGGTGCTGCTGCTGCTGTACAGAATCTCCCTTTCCCTGGAGGTTTTTTTGCAGGTGGTAGGAGAGGGTGTGGGGTCACCTCAATGTTTTGACATGGCTGCCTCTTCATCCTCACTTCTTCCTCATCTTCCCCCCCTTAATTTGTGGCTAAATCAATACAGTAAAGGAGATGGTTGCATATAGTTAAGGTTGCAGTAATGTATCTGCTTTCTCACATGTTATTTCTCCTGTTCTTCTTCTGAGGGTGGACTAAATGAATACTAATGTTATCACTTGCTAAGGTGAAACTGGGGGCCAATCTGTGGATCTGGCTTGATAAGGTGTCAGGTATCTGCTGCTTGTGATTCTACTCTGAAAGCGTGTGCTGGGAACTGAGGAGAGAAGGGACAGAAGGTTGGAGCTGATGGATGGCTGCTTTCTCTATGGTCTGAGGAAGAAAGGCTTCTTCAGAGGATGTAGTAACAGGTACTCCTCTGGAAAGAGAAACCAAACCAAACCCAAGGCTAATAACCAAATGTAGGATCGTGTATGCTGCTGCTGTGCTGCTCAGGATTGGGTCTGCTCTGCTGCTGTTGGAAGCTGTGCACGCTGCATCACTGGGAATCATCAGGCTGGTCCTGGGCTGAGGGTGGTAGGGACTTCTGGTATCTTACTGGCTCACTTCCAAGAGAAGAAATAGAAACAAATGAAATCTCACAAAAGCATCACATGGTTACAAGGGAAGCTGTGTCTCTTTGGACCAGGGAAGTGGCTTCAAATGGCCGGTGGAAGTTGTGGAGGCGTGGGGAGGGGAGCCTTCAGTTGGTGACTACAGTGGAGCACTTGGTGCCGTGGGTCCCCTGCAACACAGGCTTGGCACAGGCAGGGTGAGGAGGTGGAGCTGCTGTTCCTTCACCTGCTTTTTGTCGTGTTACACTGACCTTGGAGCTTTCCAGCAGGTGCCAGATAAAGAGTTGTCCTCTTGACTTGTATAGTTATTTGGATTTGTCTTCTACTAGGCTGAAATTTAACTATGGGGAATTGGATCTTGATGCCCAGAAAGCGTCAGTGGTTCTGATCAGCACTGTGGTCACTGGCATGGTGTTGAGTTAATGTAAAGCTTAGAGAAAGATTTCCTTCCTCTTGCCTCCTACTCTTACAACCACCCACAGTTCAGTGTACAATTGTGCATGTTTTAGGGATCCTTGATGTTACTGTGTTCATTTCTATGATTTGTTGTCTTATGTACAAATACTTTTTAAAGACAATAGTTCCTTTCCTTTTAAAGAATGCACTGAGGCATTAGTGTAAAAACAAAGTTAAATTGATTTAAATAAAATTACTGTACAGAAAGCAGAGTTCTTTAGTTTTGTGAAAGGTGGGTCTGGCACTGGAGGTAGACTGTTGGTAGGAACGCTGTTCTCTGAAATCAGTGTGTACCTGAAGACAGACTGCAGTGACAGGCGTGGTGTCACCCTGCCTGGTTGCTGGGAGAAATCACAGGTAGGAGTCTGGTTCGGAAGTAGTTTCCTTGATGGCTGTATGAAACTCTCAGCTTTGGGAGGATTTTGATGTGGGTTTGATGCAGGAGCTGGAGCCTGTTGTGACTGGATGGGTTTATTCCTGGTGGTGGAAAGAATCTGCTTCTCCCTGTTGTGAGCTCAGAGTGTGAGTGCCTGGGATGAAGGGATGCTGGGAGACAAGGTGCCCATCACTTCTTCAGCAATGTAAAACCCCCTGTCTTGAGGGAAATGCCTAGTCATGGCTGCCTCTTCTCTTCCCTGCTCATAGCTGGGAAGAACCTGCTTCTTCCAGAAGAGTTGATCACACAGACTGCTGTCTTGTGCTACAGCCTCTGTAAAAACCCTGTAGCCTTTCATCTACCTCAGGAATGTTCAATGCTGATGTAGTATTAGGCTTTGGAAGCAGACTCATGCATCAGTATGAGGGAGTTGGATTTCCTCTTAAACTTGCAGAAACTGTTTGAATTCATTTGATTGTTATCTTGGTTTGAGGCAAAGTTGCATTCTAATGTTATCTGCTAGGGCTTGGGATGATAGAAAATATAAAAATCTGAAGGAAGAGCACTTGGTATGAGAACAGCTTAGCAAAATGAATAGGTAAAACTTAATTTAACATCTCAGTGTGGTCTTACAGAGCTGGGTTTTGTGTTTAATGTTCCTGATCTGTGGCCCAAAAGCAAACAGACAGCTCTCCCTCTTCAAGTGCTTGTCAGTATCAAACTCATTTAAAATGCCTGTGAACTCAGGCAGAAGCTAACCTCAGAGTAAGGCCCTGCTTTACCTTCTTGCCTGTTCTTCTTTTAGCATCTGGTCTTCTAAACTGTGTATCCAAATCTCTATTGCTATAGACATCCATTATGCAGTTCTTCACAGGAACAGTATCGCATGCCTGATAAGCTTTAACTAGAATATACCAAACTAAAACATTTTACTTTTCCAGATACTTAATGCTAGGTAAAGAACAAAATGTATCTGTTAAGCATCCATTAAATAGTAGCAGCTGTCTCTCTCACCTTAGGAGGCTGCAGAGAACTGCACTACATGGAAAATGCAGACATGTTCTTTACCGTGGTCTGTAGTCCAACAGGAGAACTTTCAAACAACAGTGTGACTTCTGCACAAGGGGCTCAGTCAGCTACTCACAGTGTCAGTCCTGTGCTAGCATTCTCTTGTGAGCTAGTCTGAAACAGCAATTTGATACCAACTATCTCTTTTTTTTTTTATTTTGAAAGCAAACTTGATGCAGAAAGTGATCTCTGCTGAAAAGCATCCTGCAGAGCTTTCTGTGTGGCTTCTGCTTAGGCCACTTGTGGATGTTCTCCTAGAAAAGACAGGAGCAGAGTACTGTGAATTAAGTTTTCCTTTGCTAACACCCACCTCAGTTGTAGGAAATCCAAGGAGATTAAAGGTAGGTATCACTACTTGCACCATAAGAGACTTGCTCTGGAGCCCTGTTTTTGCAGAGCTTCAGGAGCTGAAGTGCAGCAGTCTGTCAGGCTGGGCCTATCATGAAAGGCTTCATTCCTAGCACAAAAACCACTCAAAAGTCAGGCTCACTGTTTGAATAAAGCAGATCTATTTCAGCACCATAACATTTTATTAAACTACACTATCAAAATCACGTTGATGGCAGGGAGAACATTGCTATCAGTGCATATTTTCTGTACTAAGACTGTATTTGTAGCATCCAGCACTTGCTGAGGAAAAGGACACTGAAATGGAATCCTTCATAGCCAAAGAGACAGTAGAAAATTTCTACAAAAATCAGGATAGTTAGGGGTAGCTGGAAGATCAAAGGGAAGCACTTCAAGTCAAATCAGTCAGGGAGGGTTATTTTTAAAAAGTTCACTCTTAACTGGTGGTTGTTAACTTCCTCAGCTGAGAGACATGGAGATGCTGATAAACAGCAGTTTTCAAATAGTGTCCCCTGGCCCTGCACCTGCCTGTTCACAAACCCACACAAATATTGTGTACTGCTCCTTCACTTGTGAACTGTGATGCACACGCTTGAATACAACAGCTTGAAGTGTACTATGGTTATAAAAACCTGCTTCATCTTCTAGAACAAACAATAAAAAGTTGCAGAAATACATTCTATACAGAAGTTAAAAAAATGAACAGTTGAGTTTCAGACAAATATTAAGAGTACATCAGGTTGAGTTTAAAAAGTCTTACTTCTAACATCTATATAACTATTTCTAGTCTTGCCCAGCTGCTGCTTTCTGGCAGGAACAGGACAACCAGCAGCCTTCTCAAGCAAGTGGCCTCAGGAACAGGTCACATAAGTTCTTTGTGACAAGCCTTCCAAGGGGCTGCAAGAAGAGGCTTATGTGAAATAAGGCTACTTTCAGTCTTCACGTGAAGACTCATTTCAGTAACATTTTGAACAGTGGAGATGCAGTAAAGCAGCTGTCTGTTCCACCACTAAGTCAGGCTCTTGGCAGAACAGCAGAAGGTAAGGATAGCTTGCATTCAAGAGAAGAACTATATACATCAGTCTGCAGTGTGATGGGTCTCTTGAGTTTCATTTTCTAAATACCCTTTTTATGCCCAGCCAGCTGGGGTTCTGCTTCACAGAGGTGGGTGGCAGTACGTTGGGGCTGAGGGAGGGTCAGTAACACCCCTCCTTCCAGGAATCATCCTCGCTGGCCTGAGCAGGCTGTGCTGATGGAAGGAATCTGGGTGGAGAGACAAAAAAAAAAAGGTCAGTAACAAGAAGCAAAGTCCTCGCTGATCTCTGTGAGGCTTGTGTGAAGATTTAATTTACACTGGGCTTCTGCAACATCTGTCTTGACAGTGTCAATATCTGCCTGACCCAGGTAAACCGCTGTGGTCACACATGCACACAGCTTGCACAGCCCATGCACCAGGAGGCCAGCAGGACAGATGCAGCAGCAATCTGGAGAAATTAAGTGACTATTACTGGGTAAACAGTGACACATTTATCCTGCTCTGCTAAGTTATTAACACTGCTGTGGGTTATTTCCCCATGACTGAGTCCAAGAAAATTATTTTTCCCTGCAAATGTGACAAAACACATGAAAAATAATCAGGCTGTACATAGAATACCACTACAAATGAAGAGTTTAAAAATTCCCTTTTGAGGATTTTTTTTTTTAAAGTAAGTAGATACAATTCAATTTAAGGCTACAATGGGACATTAAAAAAAAAAAAGTACTTGTTCCTTATTAGTCTGATACTGAATTAACTTAACTTCCCTCAATTGTACAAGTTTATACTATGATTGTACTACAAATAGCTGTAAAAAAATAGCATTTGGCAAGTTGGTAGTGGATTTACCACAGACAGAAGCAGAGCAGATGCCTTAGGACAACAGGGTAAAAAGATGCTTTGCTGTGATGGCATAAAGCAGGTCGTAGAAGCATCTTAGCGGCCTTATTCTTTAAGCAGATTGAGTATATTCAAGCTAAACAGCTATTGCTTTAGACTATCTACAAACTTCAGATAGCTACTGGCTAAAGATTTTTAGGAAGGTAATTGTAAAAGCTAGAAATAAATGTTAACAAAAAAAAAGTCCAAAAACCAATTGCATCTTTCTGGATTAAGATGTGGCCTCTAACTCCGTTCAGACTTGTGCAGGAAGAATAAAAAAAAACCTTTATAAAAAAAAAAGCATTTCTGCTCTGTGAAATAAAGGTGTGTGAGTCATACTTACCTCTTGGATGGTGGCGTTGGCTTGTTCTTGGGCACTGAGGTTCCTCCAAGAGATGTGCGTGCTTTAATGGGTGAATTTTTTGCCACAGTGACTATGTTACTGCTTCTGGTAGTGCAACTGCTACTGGAAGAGCCTGTACTAAGCAAAGATGCCTGTGGTTTTCGAACTGCGCTAACAGGACTGGTGTAACTGCAGGCTTTTACTGGCTGCCTGGGTGTTAACAGAGAGTTTGTGCATGACCCTGCTTTCATCGGTTGTCGCACGGTTAAGGGAGACTGCCCAGCACTGGAGGAATACCTGAGCTTACTGGGAGCCAGACCTAGAAAGGGAATAACAAAAGAAAGAATAGCCCAGTTGGCAGCTGTATTTTAAGGATGCTTTGGGATGCTGGGCCATTTAAGGGCCTCAGGTTTAGTCAGTTAAACAGACCAAAGGAAATAGAGTACAGTGGTGCGCATAGATGGCATGGCACTGACCTGCTGACCGCTGCTGAGTTCTTGGAATTCGACTGCTGGGCACCTGTAGATCTGACTCCAAGCTCCGACTGCTCCGTACAGACTCCAAAGCTCGAAGGCTCGTCCTGGCCAGGTTGGGCATGCTGTGGCGCATCTCCTCTGAAATCAAGAGCAAACTCTCTACTTGCTGCTTCTGGTAGCAGTTTAGGAGCTATATAATGGCTTAGGCTCTCTCTTGAAAAATAGATGCACTTAAAGTAGACAAGTGTGTAACCAAGTCTTAGCTTCCATTAAATAATACTATTTTCCTTGATTTGTATCAAAAGCTCACAGCTTGCTTACCTTCGCTGTTTGCATACTTGAGCCGGTCTTGCATTGGACTTTGCACAGATCTCCTTGGAGGACGGATACGGGAAGTAGATGCCCTGCTGTAATCTGTGCTGGAGGAAGGGGACTGACATCGGGGGGAACTGAGCGGAGATGGTGAGTATCTGTGAGCACTACGGTATGACAGGGAACAATCGTAATCATCCTCATCCTCAAGGCTGTACGTGTCAAACTCCTGGTCGCTGTAGGTACCTCTTCGCAGAGAGTGAAGGGAGGCACTGGAACTGCGACGTGATACAGAAGCAGAGCTGGAGGCACAATCCTGACGGAGGCCTGGAGATAGAGGGAAACATGGCTCAGTCATCATGCTTTAAAATAGGAATTCCTTACCCAGCTGTAACACAAATTCAGCAGCAATGCTTTTATCAGTGATTCATTTCACCTTGGAAAGAGAGTCACATTAATAACTCTCTTTATTGAAGACACTCACAGCACATGGAATCTGAACTGGAACAGTGTCACCCATATCAGTACTGTTTAATTAGAGCCAAAGAGTTAATATTCAAATTGACCTGAATTACTCCTTATGTCACATACACAAGCAGTGGACTATATATTGCCAAGCAAGCTCTGTAGGTATAGGCATCTCGTTTACAGTATGAACTTTTCAGTTCAATTAATTATGCACCCACCAGCATTTCAACAGATTGAAACAAAGACTTGGACTTCTGCCTCCAAGTGAAAAACCACCTGCTTTTTATTGACCTCTGCAGCACATTTGTCTGGGTTATTTACAGGTCCTCCTGCAACTTATGCATTTATTTAAGACTTTTTGCCTAACAAAGTACAAGCAACTTCTTGCCAAGAAGTAAATGTTCTCCAAAAGAAAACCAGAGAACTTCAACATGCAAAATTCAATTCTCTAGGCAGCTTCTAGCGTGATTTCAGGCTGCAGTTGGGCAGCTGGCTCAGAAAAACAAACTTACAAGCAAAAACTGTTGCTGGGTTATTGTTTCAGCTGGATCCAGTCCCCAAACATGCAGCTGCTTGTGTTTGCTCAAGTGAGGGGACAGAAACCAGGTGGGCAACTGTGAGCTGCTGCTGTTCAAACTGCCACTATTATGACACAGTTACTTGTAAAACTTCACCTGTGCTTCAGAGACTATCTGAGATGGAGTATTTTGGAGTATCAAAGGGTGCTTACACGTTTTGCCAAGTGGGGTTACATATTTAGCCAAGTGGGATGCGGATAATACTTTCGAGTCTCTGCTTTAATAGGCATAGCCTTAGGAATGTGATACCAATGCTAAGTTTAACAGGCAGTTTGGGTCTGTAGATTTTTAAAGGAAGCCCCTGCAAACCACAAACATTCCAAGTGATCTATTAAATTATTTTTTTGTTGGGGAAAGGGGGAAGAGAAAAACAGTTGGAATCCATCAACATTTCTCTACAATTCTAAAATGGTAACAAAGGAGATCGCCATCACATACTTTCTTCCTGAAGGCGTGCCATAACCTGGACATCAGTCAAGTCCTGCAGTTTATATCCCATAGAGATGGAGTCATCAGACGTACTCAGCTCACTGTCCACAGACGACTGGGAGCTCAGCGCAGAATGCATGCTCAAGTAACCTTTAGGAGGGAAGAGGAGGGAGGAACATAAAAAACATTCAGACACCCACATACAAAACAAGAATAAGCAGCAAAGTATTTATTCCAGTAATAAAATCAGTGCAGTTGAGGTATGGTTGCTAGAAATAATTAAGTTAGAAATTACTTGAGAACACAGTACTCAGTATTTTTAACCTGCAGTTTTCAAGAGGCAGAGGGTCTTTGTGCAGGGAGAAAAACTGTGGACTTCTGTCCAGAAGGTGGCAAAGGAATGCTAGGTAATTTTGAGCTTAGACGCATCCTTTAGAAGATCAGTATTATTTCTGTCTATTTTGAGAAAGGAGCGACTATTGATCTAGATATTGAGCAGCAAAGTTATACAAAGTGCTTGCTAAGGCATTGGTGAACAGGCATAGGAGTAAAAGGATCCAAATGGTTTTCAGAGTACAGTACCTCAAAAACCATTCATGCGATCTGCTTATGCAAAGTGGAGTTTACAACTAGATTGCTTCCTCCCCATTCCTGAGGTTTATCCATTTTTTTCCTCTCATCACAAACCAAACTCTCTCTTACAGAGAAGGACATAGCTTGTTCATACAGCAAGTCATAAAACACAAACTGGAAGGCTCTTTCCAACAGGGGAGTTTTTCTGTAAGTCAGGCACTAGGAAAAGCAACAAGTAATTTTCCATTTGAAGAATAATAATAAAATATCATCATAATCATTAAGTGCAAACTTTAACCTGTTAGTACTTTTTCTTAAGTCAAGCAAGTCAGTATTTTCAATGGTGTAAGAGTACTACTACTTGGAATTTGTCCTTCAAATGTGGGAGGCTTCTAAGTAGCCATATGCACAGAAATGTGGTTTCATGGTATCACAACTGCCTTTGGTTTTCCTCAGATACTACTCTTCCTGGCATCTGGGGCAACTGTTAGTGCAGGAAGGCAAAGCATCACCCAGCCCTGCGCTTATCTCCATCTGCAGATGGCAGACAGATGCAGGCAATGGTAGGAGAAGCTCATCAGCATGAATTTTGGCTGGGATAGTATCTTTGATAGAGAGCACGCAGTGGTGAGCATACCTCCGTCTTCTTTTCCCATCTTATAACTACCATACTGCTTTGTATTAAAAAACAAACACAAACCCCCCACGTTACTAGAAAAGTTTTTGGAAACACAGAAGGATTAGTGCATGTAAAACCTCTACGTGACAAACATGCTTATCTATATGCCACGTTACAAAATATCATCGTACGCTCCTAGTATAACTAACCCTCGAACACAGGCACATAAGACCATATAACTTAGAGAGCTATCTTAGGAGAGAGTACATTACCTTAAAGTAAGCCCAAGACAAGGTTGCAATTAGTATTATGTAGACTTAGACCCACCAAAAAAAATAATTAAAGCCCACAATCTGACAGAAGATCAGATAAAGCTAGTAGATATGCAAGTACCTAAGAGCACTTAACATCACTTTCAGCTGAGCAGGCTTAAGAAATACAAATCCTGCTCAAGCAGGGATTTAAGATCATCACTTAAATAAAAAGCAACAAACAGGCTGTAGCACACCAGCCAACAAATGAAGAATGTAAGTCAGCTTCCGAAAGCATCTATATGATGTCATTCACCATTGGCTTTCACTTTAGCTCATGCAGTTTTGCCTGCTGTGTTCTAAGAAGTCTTGAAGGCAGTTCTTAGAACAATGACTCTAGAAACAAACAGCTAAAAAGCATTGCTGAGCAACTCTTTCAAACAATGGGTAATTCCAGTCAGGCAGGAAAAAAAAGCAGCAGGTTCCCAACGTTATTTCTTCAGCCAGTTTTGAAGAGTAGTAACTGATGACACAGAAAACACACGTTTGAAGCCCAGATGTAAAATAAATTTCTTACGCGGACATTGAGCAAACTACTGCGTACCAGTAAGCCTCAAATTCCACATTTGAAAAGGCATGAAGTTTTTCCAGTTCAAGATGCTTACATAATGCAGTGATAGAAGTGTGACTGCCATGTAAGGGGAATGTCTGTGTGTGTCACACAAATACACACTCCCAGTCAAGACACCCCAGTACTAAGGGCTGTATAACATAATCCCATTTCTTCCCTTCTGGTGTTAGGAAAAGGCATTGTAAGCACTAAGGGATTCTAAGAGTAGGGATTGCACCTGTAGGATGTAGTGTAAGGAATAAGCATAGGTTTCCTGCTGTAACATCTTTAATACTAAAAGCTATATTTTCAGTATTTTTAATACAGCTTTTTAAAAAAGCAAAGTTCCCAATTCAATTGTGTGTGTTTATTCTGGTTGTTGCATTTCAAGTTGCAAGTGTATTTAAAAACAGTCAAGGAGGGGAAGACAGACATTCACATTCTTTCATCAGTAAAAACTGTTGTGGCTCAACATTGCAACATGAGCTGATTATGGTTTTCATTCCAGAAACTTAAAAATATACCACATCTGGATTTTGGAAAAGGCTTTTTTTGTTTAGTTTTTAAGGGAAGTTACTGTTAAACATTTTTGATCTGAACGGTAGGGAAGCTCCTTTTTTCTTAGAAATAAAATTAGATTTGAGTCAACCAAGGTGACAGTGAACTTCAAACTCACGTTAGCACTTACACAAATCACAAGGGAAGAGCCACCAAACTGATGAACTCTCACGTATAATCCTACGCGGACAAAGCCTGTTCTACACTTGGCTTTTTATTTGGTACCCTTCACAACTTCAGAGATTTGCGGAGTAAATGAAGACGACTAGAAGTTGCGCAGACACTTTGGTTTTACACATCAGTAACTGTTTTGGTGTGAAAAGGTGGTTAGACACCTTGAATGCCAACCAACCTCATATTAAAAAAAAGAAATTAATTTTGAGATTTTTTCCCCCTGCAGAATTCTGCTTGTAAAAATAATCAGACCTACATGCATACTTTTGTTTGCAAAACAGAGATAAGTGTTAATTTCTATTTACAGCAGAAAACCAGCAGATCTCAGTGTACCTGCAGCTGTGAAAACATCCACATGCAACCCTTTTTTTTCCCCTCTTAAAATAAAAGGTTAATTTAACATCAAGTTTCAAGCCAGAAACTGTTAAACATGCTTTGTATTTTTCAACATGCAAATTAGGATACAGCAATTTCCACAAAACCCCAAACAAATCAAGGAAGACTCCTTTGATAATAAAACCAAGGGCAAAGCATTTGTACTAGGAACCTGAGCATGAACCGCATCAAGGATAAACACAGCTCCTGACAGAGCCCACACGGACTCCTTAGGCAGCAGCTTAAATGCAAAGGCAGACTTGAGGCCAAGCCATTTAGGAGAAGCTTCATTATCATACTAACAAATACAGGCTTCTAACAAGAATTCTGTGCAAGCCGCCTCTCAGGTAGGAAATCTTACTCCAAACAGAATTAAGTCTGATGGAAAGCTTTTGTTATTTTGTGTTTAAGTGCTCAGTAAGCCAATTTAAAGGCATATGCTGGAGACTATGCCTTTTATCTTAAAGCACAAGGCTTCCTTCTGTTGCCTATATTAATCACTATTTTCAAAAGAAACTTCACAAACTCTCAAGCCAGAAAATTGAATCCAAGTAACTTTATAAAGTTAACACCTATGTATGATAACATTATTCAAGAGCAGTATTTTTTTTGCCTCATAGCTGTTTTCTATTTTAAGTCACTTAAAATTAGTACAATATATATAAAGAAAGTTATAAAAACAAAACCATGAAATAACTATGAGATATTTAGAATGCAAGGTGGTTTTCTCCCACATAATACACAGAACCTGGGTCAGTAAGTGAGCAAATTAAAAGGAGAAAACCCCATGGGACGACTTGCATCTCTTGACAACTTTTCCCTGTGTCAATTAGTAATACTCCTTGCATTTTAAACACCACAGGTTTGCACTGCTCTACTGACATGCCATACCTGAGCTGCCACAGGTTAGTAGTGCTTTGTTAGTCGATTTGAGATGCCCGGGAGAGTTTAGTGCATTGCTACAGGAGCCTGTCTCTGTATTCAAATTATGTGCGCTTGGTGATGCCAATGGACTGCAATACAGGTTTTTCCATCTACTGGCTAGAAGGAAAAAAATACAAAAAAGCCATAAAGGTTATCAAATTATTTTTAAAAACAAAGAACATAAGATAAAGAAAGGCATCAGATCAAACAAGAGTAAATATTGTAACAGATGTACTTCAAATCAGACATCTTGATAGTGTCGGTTACACGATGTAGGAGGCAAAGCAGTGCCTGTTCCCTCGCTCATGCTCCCCTTTAACTTGTTCTGTCACTTCTGAAGAATTCCAAGAATAACTACGGAACAACTGGGCTTTAAAGAAGCCATACGTTCCTGAAAGTTGAAGACCAGCACTGAAAAGACGACTGTTTTCATAAATACCTGTCACTTCTATACCCCACCTTCATTTTAAAGAACTCCATTGAACTTTATGTTCATGTATGTGTTATTTTGAATTTTTAATGATGGAATCGCAACAGCATTAAACCACAAAAGCTATGCCCCTAGATTAAAAGGGGAGCAAATTAATATGAAGGACAATCGATCTGAAATACTTATTCAGCACACAGACTTGCGTACAAGTTAGTGAAACAAAGAGAAACCAAGTAGGAAAACAGTGCATCCATGCTTACTGAAGGTGGAAATGAGCAGCTACAACGCTGAGGAAATGACTGTCTATGATCTGTACCTATTCAAGGGGCCACTGAATTGCCCACCCAACCCTGACCATTGAGAGAAGAGTAGCTAAGAAAATAATGAAGATTCACTATATAAATAGTTTTCTTTACTTCCCTCACAAAGTCAGACTATTTTAGTTAAAAAGCCGCAATATAGTACAAATAAAGCCTGATATATTTCAGACAGGAAGCAAAGAGTTAATCAAAGGAATCTTCATTCAAATTTTTAAGTGCAGATGGTTTATAAAAGTAAATGAAGTTTGTTCTCAAACTACATTCAGTTATCTCAAACCAGGAATTTCAAGGCTAAACTCAAAATAAGCAGTGCCAAAACACTGTTAGTATGTAAACATAAAAAAACCCCAACAAAAACCACCAACAAACTGAAACCAAACCAGACACAAACCAAAACAGCGCTGCCTCAGACTTCAAATCACTGAGGTCAATTTACTGGTCAAACCGAAATCAAAATTACTGCATTCGCACAGAAGACAAAGCCAGCCAATTCAAAGCCCTGGCAGACAACAACTTTTGTACCGAACTGGGGGTTGTATTTTCAGCAGTTAAGAACATCACTGAGCTTCAAAACATTAATTCTATCAGAAACTTCCCTTTTTCAAACACCGCTAACCACAGCTTTTGTGTTCAGATGTTCCTGAGTCAAACCAGACAGCGAGGTTGCAACACATCCTGCTCTGCAATGCTTTTCAATGAGGAGGAAAATTAGGAAAATAAAAAAGAAAAATAGGAAAGCTACATGACATAGAAAGCTATAGAATATAGAAGAGGGTAACTTATTCACTTCAAACCGCTCAGTGCCTTGGCTATCAGCACATCAGCCCAGGACTTGCGCATTTTACATACAAACCGGAGTGCATTTGAAAAGACAAAGGTAGGATATCCACCACGTGGATTCCAGGTGACCTACTACAGAAACAGAATACCCTTCCCAGTTTTGTACTGGTGTAAAGCATGCATCCCTTCTAACAGCTCTTGCATCAGTGAAAGGCTAACACGGGATTGATCCTTCTGTGCTCTGATAAAGGAAAAGAAAACCCACAAACCTATGACCCCAGAATACTGACTGATGGTGGGATGCGACTGCTGAACAGAACGCTCCGTAGCATTTTCGCTTCAGGCAGCTGCAGTGAGGGCTTTTCCCCTCGGTGGTTAAGGAACACAGCTCAGAGCCACCAGGAAGCGCTTTTAGGGGATGATAGAACTAGAAGAACAACTAGGTTTCCAAGTGACACCATTTCTTCAAGTTACAGATTTTAATGTTTCATTATTGTAAGCTTTGAGCATCAGATAATTGTTTTACTCAGGTAATAATACTAAAAGCTAAGATATCGTAAGAATAATCACCATTAGAAACACTCAACACTAGAACTTTTCCTAGAGAAAAAAGCTGCAATAATAGTTTCATTTGAAACTCCCCCCCATTCCCAGAAGCACATTTTTTCATCTACGTATTTTTACATTAGAGATGTTTAAATATTTAAAAAAAAAAAAAAATCAAGAGCATGAAAACACTAAAATATATTTTAGTGTTTAGGCTCTGAACATATGAAAAACCACAAACAAAGCAAGGTGGTCAATTTATCAATCTGAAATGCTTATATTTGTGTCTTCAAAAATAGAAGGAGGCAAAACATCACAGTTCAGTTTGTTTCGTCTATTACTTGTAATCAGCATAGTTTTCTTAACGTTTACAGAATGATCTCTGGCCTTCATCAGCTGAGGCATTACCAACATAAACCAAAAGCCAGAGGTTTTTATGCCATGACAAACATGGCTGGACAAACAGGCACCAAGAGCACATCATCTGAAGTGCTGTCTCTGCAGATATTCTCCACTACAGCAACCGCAAACTTCACGTCTCCTTTGCTTTACTGCTTCTCGATAACGTAAAGTACACAAGAGGAAACAAAAGCCACTTGAAGAAGCAATGCTTATAGTTTTACATACCTTGATCAAGTCTGTTGATCAGAGTTCGGCAGGCTGCTTCTGTCTCAGGGCTGGGATTATCCAACACCTGTCGGCACCATTTTAAAGGTGAGTCCGTTCTCTGATCTGTGGTAGATTTTCTCGGGGACACATAGAGCCTGTGCAAGGATTGAAAGGAGACAGTAAAAAAATGCTCATTAACTCAAAGCATACAGCCACCTAAGTAGCTTTTACTAAAGTATGCCTAACAGTAAGTAATAGAAAAAAAGTTATCCAAATTAAAAAGGGGGGGGGGGGGGATAAAGCTTAAATTGCATACTATGACTCAGAAACAAAATTTACTGCCACAATAGTAAAATTCACTTTAAAATGGCTTCACAGAGAAAGCGCACAGCCTCTGCAAGGCCAGGGTCAAGCTTGGGCTGTTGGAATACTACTAAAAGTGGTTGGTAAACTCACTGTCACCCCTCCTCACTCCTCCACCCCCCAAAACCATCTCATGACAGAGACAGCAAGGGCGAGGAGGTGGTTCTAACTTGAGATTCAAGGTGATCTACTTTGAGAAGTCTAACCGTTACATTTTTTGTTTCAAACCCCACGGCTCTGGGTATTCCACCTGTATTGCACTGCAGGCAACCATCGTCTCCTGTCGTCTAACTGCAGCTCTCAGACACTCAGCGGTCAGAAGTCTACTCACAGATCTCGGGGATAAACCACTTATTTGGAAGATTTAGAAATCTTCAGACAGTTAGGAAGTATGACTGTATGCTACTTTTCCTTTTTTTTTTTATTGTATTCCTAAAGCCTATATTTTTGACAGTTCTAATACACCTAGCATTGCTTTGCATATACATACAGTATTAGCCTTATGTACAGACAGATTTAATCATCTTACAGTCTTGAATTATTTACAACTGATCTTGTGTAAAGTAGCATCTTAACCATATTTTGTAAATAGAAAATTTCTCTCAAGAAAGGTCAAAGTGTACAGGAGCCAGATTGAAATGCAATTGAAAAATTTTACTTACATATCCCACATTTGCATTTTTAAAGTAAAAAAAAAAAATTAAAAATCGAAAAGCACATTAAAAAAATCCAAAAGCTAATTTGTTATTGACAAAATAAATGCTGAGAAACACGAACACAAATATTCCTGAATGTGCAATGTTATCTTTTAGGAAAGACCCCACAAGCACATCTTGCTGCATTTCTGCATGGGCAAATGAGCATTACAACCACTCAGATCCAATAAAACAGAGAAAACAAAGCGCTCGCGCTCTCTCTGGATTTATTTTACAGTTCAGACAAAAAAAGCAGCAGTAAAACCATCAAACAAAAAAGAGGCCAATAGCCTCCTTAGGGCAGGTCACGCTGTTCTTCACATATTTTAGGTTAAGGGAGAAAATCCTGCTCTACTTCAGGAAGTCGTCGTTCTACCCAGCTCCTTCCAGGCTTCCAATCGTGCGTCTAGCCAGGACTGCATCAGCTGGAAACGGTAACGCTTGTTGGATTGCTGGGACCGTTTCCGCGTGGAGCAGAGCTACCTGCTTCCCAGGGTGCCAGAGCCCTCCAGAGCCTGCCAACGGACTCCCATGTTTCAGCTGACAAGTCTATTGGCGAGAGATGGTCTCACTTATAATTTCACTGAACTCAAGTAAGTAAGCACAACTGATTTTTTCAGAGCACTGACAGGCAACTTATAAAAAAAAAAGATGAACTCTAGTTTGATTTCACAGTGTCAGGTTTACTATTTTCCTCTTTAAGTAGCTTCGGGGAAGGGTTCAACGCACTTAGTAAGCTAACCTCTCATAATACGCTGGCATAGCTTATTCTCCACAGCACACCATCAGCCGATAAACTAAAACCACTGGCCCCACAAACAGAAGTGAATATTTTTCTGGACACGATATTAAGAGCCAAAAGTCACCTTTTACTAGTGGCTCCCCCCACCCAGCATCATCCTCCGTTAGCCACTGAGACACAACTGCGCAGGTTACTACATCATCACATTTCTTGCAGAACTAAGCCAGGCTTTCTTCTGAAAGAGGTTTTTGTGATAAGTAAAACTCACTCTGGCTCTGTTTAAAAATATGCAGAATTTTATTTCTGGTAGTTTTATCCTCTAAGGCTGTTTGATTTGTGAGGTTAACTTAATCCAATAAACACTGGAAAAAACCGTACCCAGGCATGCCATTAAGTATGCATTCGCTGCCAGTTTACGAGTCAGCCCAAGTCTTTTGGGTTTAACAAACACCTGATTACTGAATAAGCTTTACCTTGCATTTTGTTCCTACAACTCTGCAGTTTGGGTGCAAAGCATGTTCTGTTTAAATGGCGTATTTTCTTTTGTCAAATGGCAAATGACAATTAAGAAGTTTATTTAGATAGTTACAAGGCCTAATACAAAATTCAGAAAGCAAACATTTGGGCATATGTTCTCAATTTGATGTACTGGGGTTTTGCTGCATAACTTATTAAATATGAATGAGAATTTCTTCAGCTTCTGTGAGGAAACCCTTAGATAAAGCATCTTTAGTTTCTGCTCCCTAATGTATGTGTTTCACTCGCTCATCTAAAGTACTTTATGAAATACACCTCCGGTAAGAGCCAAGTAGTTGTAGTTGTGCAGCAAGCACATGAGATTTTTCTTCCATTAAGAATGCAGGCACTCAAAAATAAATTTGTGGGATTCTTTGCACTTCATTCTGACATATTCCAATAAGCATCTTCTAGAGTTACTATTTTTCTTTTGGGGTCAATGTCACAGAAGAATTTATGGGAGTTAATGGCCACTATTGTTTGATTTTGAAAATACTGCCTTAAATAAAATCTCCCAAGAATCTCGAAAATACTATGACAACTTTCTCAACTTGCACTAAAAAAAAAAAAAAAATCTTCACAATTTAGTAACCATCAGATCAATTATAAGAGTGCAAGCCAGTATTGCCTGAGAATTTAAGATCCTAATCATGCAGAATATTTGCACTAGTAAATCTACAGATCGTAAGAAGAGAATGCAGGCTGCAGAAAGCTCTATAACTAGTACATTAGTAAATTAAACTGAAAGTAAAATGAACCGCAGTTTCTAAGACTCATGCTTGGTCTATTATATACCTTCCACAGCACTGAGCACCAGTAGCTACAGCGGTACCAAAAGTAGCAGACGCGACACTTATTTTCAAACCTTTGAGTTATACGCATCAATGCAAGGAAGAGACCTGAGGTAGCTAAATATGTTTAGAACAGTTTAGGTTTATAAGATATGCCTCCATAAAGTGCTAAATTCTTCTATAAAGCATGTATTTCAAACAGATAATGCATTCATTTTCCTTTCCTTTGACATATCAGACTTCAGAGAGTCGATTTTCAGATTTATTACTGTGCTTATGCTGTTCCAATCTCAAATCTAAACACTAGAGTTGAACAGAAATACTAATACTGACAATATAGTGTTGTAGAAAGCAACAATAAAACAATATTGCCCAGGTCCTGAAATGACAGAAACATAAAAGGAAAAAAAAAAAAAGAGAAAAATCCCATGGAAAACACTCCACACAAAACCGTTATAGCACTAGCTCAAGTAGAGGTTTGAGCCTTTATTCCCAAGAAAGAGGAAATGGAAAGAGAGGAAGAAAACGTATACTGCCAAACCCTGAAGAGGCACCGCTTTTTCATGTCTATCTAGTGACTAATCCTGCT